TGGTCTTTTTTGGCTCAAATATTGACACTCGCTCGACCACCAGTAAGGTGTTCGTAGGATCGCTCGACCACCAGTTAAGGTATTCGTAGGAAATTCATCGGGGAGGGGGAGGGGGAGGGAAAGGAGAAATCTTAGAGCACTGGTCTTTTTGCTCCACCCAATGGTTCGCTATAACGTGAAAAGGTCATGCGTAACTGCGTTCCAGCGGCTACGTGACTAATTCTACTACCCTCCATGGTCCTGCTTCAAAAGGTTGGACAGCGTTCAGACTTCGCAGTGACGCGCAACATTGCCAAAGCGCTTCAAAGGAATGCCACTCAACCATGATATCGATCGACATCGGCCGCTAGTGTTTTGGAATGGTGTAGAAGCACAGGGGACTCCAGAATGTGTGGTTGGGCAAGAAGTATCGTCTCTTATACCCTCAATACCCGCCTAGAATGCGTTGCCGCCTACCACTAAAAAGCTATTGCAATGACAGTGCGTCGTAGCGCGTTGACGCGCGTCATCGCGAAGTTTAAACACTCCTTATAGCGCATTCAAATAAGGAAAAATGGCTGCTCATAGATCAAAAGCTGTAAATGAATGTGGGGTGAAACCGTGTGCAAGTCGTAGTGTTCCTGGAGTGCTATGCAGGCGTAAGAGCGCTGAGAAAAGCAAAAAGTTGACGCGATTATAGGGATTTAGGGGATTAGTACTGTATAGATGCAACGCGTAAAGAGTAGAGTAAAGAGTAAGAGTAAAGAGTATTTACACTTCGCTATCCGACGCGATCGGACCGCTCGATCCAATCGCTCGCTCGATCGCTGCGACAAATCAGATACTATTAGTGTGTGTCGCTGCAATACAAGTGTAGGGGTCTTGAGATTTGGCAGCTTTCTTCCTTTTTCTTCGTCTTCAAAGAAAAAAGCTGAAGCAAGGGGGTCTTCAGGTAGAAGAAAATTTTTAAACTGTAGTGTTTTCCTGTGCCATCCTTGATCGTCAAAATATTTGATGTGTGAGTTAACTTATTCTTGAAGTTCCCTTTTCGGATGTTTTAGTTCCCTAAATCACCTGTATCACCCCGTGCTCCTGTTGATCATCGAGTTGCGAGCGGGTTCTAGTAAAGTCTGTCGTCCCTGCAACGCCAACATTGTCAATGGTTCCACCATGCTCGCGGGATACGATGGACTTCATACCATTCGTTCAGAGCTTTCACGAAGAAGTCTGACCATCGCGTAGGCGGTCGTCCAGGCGTTCGCTTGACATCCCGTGGAATCCAGTCGGTGATCGCTCTGGTCCAGCGGTCGTCCTCGAAACGCATGACGTGCCCGGCCCACCTGATCTTCGAAACCTTGGCAAATGCGGCGGCTGATCTTCGATCGTCGGCGGAGTGCGGAGCTCCGGATTCCCTCTCTCACTTGCGTGTAGCGGGAAACTCCGAGCATCGCCCTTTCGATGGCGCGTTGAATAACGCCGACCGCATGCTCATCCTGCTTTCGTAGAGTCCAAGTCTCTGAGGCGTACGTCAAGGCAGGAAGGACCGCGGAATCGAAGAGGTGGGCACGGAGCTTGGTGTTCTTCGTCTTCTTCGCTACTCCCTCGATGTTCTTGAAGGCTCCCCAAGCCGCTCGCTTCCTCCTGCTCAGCTCTGGAGCTAAGTCATTCATCATATTGATTTCACGACCTAGGTTCACATAGCATATCGGTTTCCAGCCTAGTGTACATAGCTAGGGTTATTCAAAGAAATTATGAGCGTGGAATGGTGCATAAGAAAGCCAGTCCGTTCCCTCATTGAGCAATCACGTCTGTGCTGTAGAACTCAGCTGACAAAAATCACGATTTTTCAAGCGACCGGGCGCACTCGAAATTCAGCCAAGCATGTTGTTCGTTCCGCTTGCTCGATGTTTGGCGTTATCAAAACACTGTCGTCAGCAAAGCGGAGATGGTGTAGTTGCCGACCGTCGATCTTCACTCCCATGTCATCCCATTCCAGTTGACGCGTGACGTTATCGAGAAAGGCGCTGAATATCTTCGGCGAGATGGTGTCGCCCTGTCGGATCCCTCTCTTCACGGGGCGTCCCGCATGCATGTTAATAAAAGTAATCCGTGCGGTGATAAAAGTAGGCTCTATTACTCTCGACAAGGTGGTAATCAACTCAGTAGTTAGGAGAAGCGGAAGAAGCCGTCTGGAATGCCTAAGGTAGGCCCCTTGCCGAGTACAATGCGATGTGAGGGTCTGCTTGGACCAGTTCTCACCTTGCCGCGTGTCGAGCGCTTTTTCCCTAATCTTTTCACCATCATCATTCGGTATGAAAGATAGTAGTTGAACAGTCGTAGCACCAAGAAACCTAGTAGTTGAACAGTCGTACCACCAAGAAATCTTCAGAGAAATGAAGGTTAGGTGCGGTATCGGGCCGTGGGCGGGGCATGGTCTTCGTCGCGATCGAGCAGCGGCGTTATAATGGGTTTTAGAGTCCTAAATGTGATGAACCTTCTATGCTTGCGGGTAGAACTATCTTTTCTGAAGTGCTACCTGCGCATCAAAGGAACGCATAATGTGCCCTCAAGTTTAGATAGCTCAGAGGATAGATGGTGGTCTTAATGGCGCAGCGGGCAGCGCTCTTGGAGGTGAATCGCGGGGCTGAGCCCCCGCGGGCCCAAACGGCACTATGAACACTGACAAACGACTGAGGACTTTTATCCCCTAGTTGGTTGCAGCCATAGATTCAATCCAATCGATAAAAAATGTGCTCACAATCGAATTGGGAGAGCACTGAAAGCTTTCACATATTGTGATTATTTGCGGGATCACGAGCTTCGCACACCAAAGAAAGGTGTACTCTGCAACCACTTATCGCATTTCACTTCATGGGATGCATCTCTTTGCCGCGCTCGCTGAAATATAGGGTGGCGATTGTCTTGTTCCTTTCGGATGAAGGGGCGTGTCAGGCGGAATGCATTTGGCATAGTGCCAAACATGATCTCCATCAGCTGTTGAAGCGGGTAAGGAATGGACAGTTGGAGGAAAATGATTGATGCGAGCGATAGATACAGTCTTGCCCTCAACAAACTGATGGAAAGCCGGGCTTTTGCGACGTGCAACACCCATCCCCGCCTGGCATTTGCTTTCTATCAGCAGGCGCGACCACACACCCCACGTTGGGATATACAGAACAGGTACAGTATGAAAAAAAAGGTGCTGAGGTCCATCTTGGGCTTTGCGTCACCTGACTTTCGGATTTTATATTCAAAGATAGCCAGGCCGCAATTTTTCCCACCATCCTACTTGTTTGTAATTTTCTATGGCTTTTGTTTGTAACTCAAGACAACCTCTTTTCACGTTCAGTATGGCCACTATTATCGCTCCGTATAGCACCTCGTGCTGTTGAGATCTGCTGAGAGCACGTGCTCGAAACAAGGATACATCCAAGGTCTCGAAAGGTCATTTGAAGACTGAGACTCCTATAGAAGCGGCGGCGATGTTCGGCTTGAAGGGGAAGTCGTTTTGCATCCTTCGCTAGTCCTTGTGAACAACAAGTTTCACTTGGTGAGACGTGTAAACTCTTGCAAAACTACGAGAGGTGGTTCAAATGAGCCACTTTGGTTACAGCAGTTTACAGGTTATTTCACAAAGTGGCACGTATAAGTTTTTACTGGGTTACTATTCGGCATTTTGCCCCTCCCAAAGGACTGCGCGGAATCAGCTCTTTTCACGACTCATAATGCGTAAGGACCACCGAAGAACATCTGCTGGAATCAATTCTGCAAGGCCATTCAGTCATGGCGCAGATTGTTACCCCAAACCTTGTTTCCTGTCATTTTTTAAATAGAATCTTGAAAATAGAATCTTAACAGGACCATGGAATAATACATGGTAATACTTTATGGAACTTTGCGCTGCAAAGGAATTGGTTGCCGGAGTTAGTGGGAAATTTCTGCATATGTGACACAGCCGTCTACTCCTGTCGCTTTGTACCGCCTTATACTACTTCTCTAATGTTATACTATCCGCTGTTCCGTTGCATATGGTCCTAACCGTCCACTGAACCATTCAGCACATTCCAGAAACAACAATGGGCAAGTGGCGTCGCGTGACATCTCCAATTACAATGGGCGGAGCGAAAGAATGCGGGCGTGCGTGGACGAGATTACCGGTACTGTCCATCGATGCCCTCTTTCTTTTTTGTTGCAGGCTTGTCCATGCAAATTCTCTTCAATTTGTAGTTATCCTTAACTTACAAAGTTGAAAAATGTCTTTTCAATGTCCAGCTTGCCTGAGTTGCCTGTATTTACATGATAAACCACATTCATCTTCCTGTCATTTTATTGATTTGTTTTCCAGGATGGATGAAGGGAAGATCGTTTTGGTTGGAAATGAATCAGATGTTCTTCACTGCGGTTATAGTCCATGCCATTTCAGATGCTGGAAAAAGGTGATTTTATTATGTACAAGGTTGTTTTATTACTAATCTTATCCACCGTTGCATATTCAAGGCTTTTTTAGTTTGAAGCTTTTGAGTTCATAATGAAACCCTTATATGTAAATAGCTCCTTGAATCGCTCATCGCTTATTTTTACTTCAGTTAAGTTTCACCATAAAAACTTAGGTCTGCAAGCACTTTTCCTTTAACTGCTCGGATTTTATGAATTCTTATGATAGTGATGGAATTTGCTTGAATTATTTATTTTTTGTTCATTATGTATGTTTTCGAATTTTATTCGGTGTCCCAGCAGGGAGCAGCAGAAACTCGTTTCGTGGACTTTTTGTCTTTTGGTTGGTACATGTGTTCCGGCGAATAGTTGGTACTAAAGAGCGGATTTTATCTGGAACTTTGAAAAGATAGTTTCTTGATTTTAACTAAGTTTCTTGATTTTAACTACCTTGCAGTTTGGTGATCCATGAACAGGTTGTGATTGCATAAATTCATTTTTCTGAACCGTACAAATGGAACTTAATAAAGCATTTGTCACGTTTAGGTACCCAAGTGCAGTTCATTACACACATTCTATGATTCTAAGTCAGCTAGGAGTAGATGAAAATGTAATTTTGGAACTGCTCTGTACATCGTCCTGCGATGTTCCTTTGAAGGTTTGTTCTATATACCGCTTT